TTATGCTCCTTAAAAAGGGCAAACCCCGCACAGATCCTAACTCTTATCGGCCGATTTCACTTACAAATGTTTTAGCAAAAGTCTTTGAGAGGATCCTAAAAGAAAGACTCATTGACTTCACCAACGAACACAACATCATTCCCTCTTTTCAGTTCGGCTTTAGAGAAGGGTGCTCTACTAATACGGCATTGACTGAGATTGTCACACACATTACTCAAAGTCTGAACGACAGCAAACTCGCATTAGGTATTTTCCTCGATGTTCAAAAAGCCTTCGATCAAGTCTGGCATGTGGGACTGATCAAGAAACTATTGAACATTGGACTACCAATTCCTTTCGTCAGACTAATCCAATCATACGTCTCTGAACGTCTGGTCCGAGTTAAGGAACGTGGTTATTTCTCCGATTCCTTTACTCCAACAGCCGGAGTACCACAAGGCTCCGTACTGGCCCCTACACTTTACATAATATACAACAGCGACTTCCCTAATACTACACGTAACAGAACCACCACTCTACTTTACGCAGATGATACTGCTCTGGTTACTACAGCAACGAACGTTGATTCTGTTCTCAGGAATGCTCAAAATCACCTTAGACTAGTCGAAAACTGGTGCAGGCGATGGAGAGTGTCCCTGAATCCGAACAAAACTCAAATGATTCTTTTCAGACACCCTAACCACAGCGTACGCGCGGCCTCCTTTAACGAAAGAAACTATCTCACGCTATGGGGAGATCAACTCCAACTCCGTGATCAGGTCGAATACCTCGGTGTGAAGTTCACACGAACTTTGAACTGGAGGACCGATTTGAGCTCAGCCTGTGCTAAGGCTAGGAGCAGATTGAGTCTCCTCAATAGTTTGAGATGTAATTTCGGGGCCACGCACTCTAGGACATTAATTTTCACCTATAAAACTTTTATTAGACCTATTTTTGAATACCGATCAAACATTTATAATACAATACCAAAACCAGTCAAAGAAAACCTATTAAGCCTAGAGCGGAGGATTCTGCGTAGAGTGAATGGCAAACGCAACGACTACCCTTCAGCCCTCATTCATCAACTATCTAATATCCAGCCCATAAATGAGAGACTACACTCTCTGAGCAGAAGTTATACTACACGCACTATCCGGAGCCAAAACCTCAGAGCTCAACGCATCCTAAAAACTGTCTGCTCTTCCCGCGGCAATGTATTCACCAGACATCCTAAACCCAAAATCCCACACCTACCCGCAATTCTACTGGAACTCGCCAGTAACGAACTCCCTGATGAATACATTGACATACAGGAGGCAACTCCCCTCTATTTTCGTCGCATTCCTAGCTAAATTGCTCACTTCGAGCTTGCCTAGACAGGGGGGGATCGGTTTTCTGCGGTTTCCCGATCCCACTTGCAAATGATACCTGTCTATTTTGAGGATACAGCCGCAGCTGCCCTCACGCGTCGCGTTAACACATTTAACACATTTACTATTTAACATATTAATGCATGTATTTATACATATATTAATATTGCATTCTGTACATATATTAATTTAACATTCACTAACTATCACTAATATATTTTTTAGAAAACAATTCTGAAAAGAACCGACCACTACCTTTCTCCGCTGATTGCCCTGGCTGCACCCACCAGTGGACCACGAAGCAAAGAACCAGAAGCCAACACCAACAAACAAGAACCACATCCTGAAGAGGCAAAAGCCTAAAACAGGATGCCAAAACCCCAAAACAAAAGAACCATACCAAAAACAGAGAAAACCAACGCAACAATGAAGTGACGTCAAAATGGTGATGGGAGATTGAAACGCTAAACTAGGTAAGGAAGAAGAGAAGTAAGTGGTAAGCATAACTTGCACAACACAACAAATGGTAACGGTCACCGGCTAACACAATTCGCAATATCTAATAACATGATCGTTAAATCCAGCCAATTCGAGAGAAAGGACATTTACAAGGTCACATGGGTTTCAAATGATGGAAAAACACGAAATCAAATGGATCATGTCCTCATTGGCGCAAGGCCCTCTAGTGGCATTATTGATTCGTGAAGTATGAGAGGAGCTGACAGCGATCACTTTCTGTTGAAATCTAAGTTAAGGACGCGATTATCAATACAGAAACTGGAACAACAAGAAAAAAGGGAAATATGGAACATAGAAGCCCTAAAAACACCAAATAAAGAACTGGATTATTAAATTTCAATAAGCAACAGATTTCAATTACTGGGAGAGGAAGAGCATAATGTAGAGTTAGAACAAGCATTGCAGCAAGTGGCATCAGTTATAAAACAAGCAGCCAAGGAAACCATTTAAAAAAAGAGAACTCGCCCAAAACGGAAATGGTTTGACAAAGCATGCAAGGAATTTCTGGAAATAAAAACGAAAAAAAGATTGAAAATGTTACAAGACCCAACAGATGAGAACAAAGCAGATTTTAACAGAACAAGAGCACAAACAAGGCGACAATTCAGAACTAAAGAGAGGAGTTACCTGGAACAGAAAATTCGGGAAATGGACAGAAGTGGCGAGAGGAATTAAATAAGGAAATTCTTTAGTGCAGTGAAGTCAGTCAGAAAAGGTGCAAGTGTTGGAGCAACACAGCCTATGAGAAATGAAGCAGGTGAACTTATAATGATAGAAACGGAAATCGTCGAACGATGGAAGGAATGCTTTCGGAATTTACTAAATATTGAAAGTGAGACGGAGGAAGCAGATATTACGTTTCATTCTGCGGATATCGAGATACCAGCACCAACACTTGAGGAAGTAAAGAATGCGATCGCGTCTCTAAAAGACCATAAATAACCAGGAAATGATGGCATAAATGGAGAGTTGTAAAAAAAATGAGGTAACCTTTTACACCAAAAATTGTATGACATCATTCTGAAAGTATGGCAACAGAAATTGCCTAGAGAATGGAATGGAAGCGTTATAATTCCCATATATAAGAATGGAAACAAAGAACAATTCCGAAACTATAAAGGCGTATCTCTTATTAGCACATCATATAAAGTGCTATCAATTATCTTTAGCTAAAGAGACTCACACTATATTCGAAAAGATATTCTAGGCGACTACTAATGAGGCTTTCGTGCTGGAAGAAATCATGCTTTTTATGGAATCATATTTTCATATGATTCCATATAAAGAAGCAAATTGTGGATAGCAATGTTATAAATGGAAATACCAAGAACATTAGTTGAATTAACACAAATGAGCGTGACAGACTCATATGAGCAAGTAACAATAGGAAGCAGAACATCGATGTCATTTGATATAAATTCAGGACTTAAAAAGGGGGACCCCTTGTCTCCGTTGTTGTTCAATTTTGCTTTAGAATATGCAATAAGTAAAATATCGTCTGAGCTGATAGGAGGATTTGCTGCTCAAGGATCAAAACTGTTGCTGGCGTTTGCTGATGATATAGATGCAGTCACGCATTCTACAAGAGACGTGAGAGAGGTGTTTTCACAGCTCGAGGAGGAAACAGATAGTCTGGGTCTCCGAATAAATGAAGAAAAGACGAAATACATGGTAGTAACCAAATATCCAAGACCAAGAGTTAGGCAGAACATCAGTATTAATGATCACAACTTCGAAGTAGTAAAGGAGTTTAAATACCTGGGGGTGATAATCACAGCTGACAACCATATAGAAAAAGAGGTCTCAGCAAGGATAGCTGCGGGAATAGAGCATTATACTCAATTTCAACATTATTAAGATCAAAGCTGCTAAAAAGAAAATCTAAATTAACACTGTGCAAGTCGATTATTCTCCCAATTATTACATATTATGGCAGAGAAACGTGGACTCTCAACCAGTGGGAAATCAATAAGCTTCTAGTATTTGAAGGAAAGGTTCTCAGAATAATATTTAGCCCTCAAAGAGATGAATTCACAGGGGATTGAAGAAGACGCCGCAATGCTGAATTTGTGACTCTGTATGGAACTTAAAACATAGTTAGACATGTTAAGGCAAACCGAATAAGATGGGCAGGTCACGTGGTACGATCAGAGGATGACAGAGTGTTAAAGACAGTGTTTTTTGAAAGACCAAATGGTAGAAGATCAGTAGGCCGACCGAGAAAAAGATGGATAGAATTGGAGTACAACAATGGAAAATAGAAGCGCAAGATCGTAGAGGATGGAGGGTGATAGTGGATGCGGCGAAGACTCACCCCGAGTTGTAAAGCCAGTGAAGAAGTGAACCTGTGTATAAAGGTGGACGTGACGTAATAGATCTATCCACACTGCAACATTTAAGATCTTTTGTGCATACCCTATATCTAGCTATGTAGCTACAGCATCTACAGCTCGATCCTTGGACCTTTTCCGACCTAATAGTTCTTGTCATCTTCGACAGTATCACTTGTAACGGAATCCAGTTCCATAATTTCCGGATGTTGATTTGTTTTTTATTTTCTGGTTTATTCTTGTTTTACAAAAAGCTAAGAAATGGATGGCCACTCCAGTAGTCAGTATCTAACATCTGTTGGAAATTAAAATACTTAAAATACACGAAATGAAGAAAATTGTTGCAGTATTTTGTCCTCGGAAATGTAAATATGTTGTAATGAATACAAAATATGTTTATACGTAGTTTATCCACATTTTAATTATATTATTATATAGTGTAGTAAAGTCGTAAATAGTTAACATCGAGTAATTTATGAATATAGATAATTTCAAGTTGATAAATTTTTATTGACCCAATCAAGACGCAATTCATTGAATATCTTTTAAATTGCATAACAAGGATCTGAATGGGAATTTACTCAATTAAAATTACTTTCATTTAAATAATCTAGTTCAGTTGCAGATGTGACAGACGCACAGCTGTACAGCTACTTTCATCTTCGCAGGGATGATCCGGCCCTGTGCATATCGAATCTCACTGCTGTAGTGCCCTATAGGAAGATTTCGGAGAAAAATATTTAATGCGACCCTGAAAACAGGGGAGGGGCAGTCTGGAGGCGCAAGACAGTGGATTCCCGGTCAATAATCGTAGTGTAGTCATGTTATGAGCATTTTAAGCCAAGGAGTTGTACTTTACATAATGTCCGGTCTTCTGTTAATCCAATAAACGTGAGTGAAAATTTCAAGCTTACACAAATATAATTTGACAAAACAAGACTCTTTAAAATCGTTTTAAAGAAAGTACTTTTTCTTGTTCGCAGTGAAGTGATGATATATCCGACATAATTTTAATGTACATTTTCCAAGTGTCCTCAATTATTACATTATTGAAGTTATTTTAAAGGATTTGGCATGGATACCTTTCAAACACCTTAAAGTATGAAAGACGTAGTACGTTTTTCAGCTTGGGTATTTTTATTTACAATTGGTAAGTTCAGTGACCTGTATTAATACTAATACCACACTGGTTTATTTTTGTTTATGTTCATTGGAATTTTTATTTACGTGTATTTGTCAATTAAAGTCTATTTAACCTCACTTTTGAGACAGGTGGATAAATATAGCTTGTCATATTATTGTCAACACATTTTATTGATGCAATTTATTTTCCTTTTAACCTGTACGTATTTACTAAATAGATATACAAGTGAACCATTTAAACGATCTATTATTGCTAAGTTGTATTGTCATGATTTTAAGCCACCATTTAATCAAATCATAAATGGGTCAACCCTCCCATCGGGGCAAATGAACTTGGGATATTGAAAAAGTGCTTAAAAGCAACCCGAATTTACTAAATGTATAAAACTGTATCAATGTCATAAAGAACATTAAAATGTTAATTTAAAAGAAGTTTATTGGTTTTTAATTTTAATTTATACAGGTTTGAAATACTCATCAGTTATCAACAGTGTTTTGTAAACAATTTGAAACCAAATAGGTACCTATGGACAAAATGTGGAATACTGATTTATATCTGAGAATGTCTATATTTAATAGTTTGATATAAAAAACTCATTTACATATCAACAATTCCTGCTTTTTTATTAAAAATATACCTAAAAAAATATTTTATTATAACTAATTAGGAATTAAATTCTTTATCTTGTTTAAATTTTTGGAAATATTTACTTACTAACTAATATAATTTGTGATATAAGAATCATTGGCCACTCTATTTAAATCATAATCATTCAGATTCACTACATACAAGAGAGATGTCCACAGTAACTTTTATGTTTCAATATATTATCTAATATACTCAAAGCCAATAAATCAGGAGTTGCTGCATTATCTGTCATAGGATCAATGGAAATGTAGAAGTAATACCTATATAAGAGTGTATAAAGCTGTTAAGACAATGGTAATCAATGATCATAAATGATAAAACTTCAACTTCAAAATATAATGAAGCAAATTACAAAGCCCAATGAAAATATAGATTAACATTGTATAGATAACCATAGTCACTATATACAACTATTGATTGAAAAATATTTCAATCAATGCTACAACTAAGAGATAGATGATTTTAAATAAAAAGCGAACATGGAAATGATCACTGATTCGACAAATTATGAAAAACTACTAATGATGTAAATGCCTACAATTAGTATGTCAAGGTGAGGAATTTGATAAGATGTGCAATTGTGAAATATCATGTTTTAGAATAGTCCCACATACTACCAAATAAGACAAAAAATTAAATAAAGTGATTGCATTACATACATTATTTGTAGCTTTAAAAAACAGGATATTGTAGTGCTTGTCATACAAAATTTGTATTCATGTAATTTGTGAAAAAACTGTAAAGGCCTGATGGTGTCACCACGTCCCAAAAGGGATTAGGACTGAGGAGGAGGAGGATTGTTCCTTAGTGATCTGTTCCCAAATTAATTTTATCTATTTTTATGTGGTTGTACTATAATATATTACTTAATTAGGAAATATTTTTAGTCATTACTCTTGAAGTAATTATAATTTCTGCCCAACTTTAAATAATTACCAATAGTCTCAAACTGTGATAAAAATCAAAGTCTCTTTTACAGTTTCAAATGCATGTCTAAACTTGGGAAAAATTACTATATCCTTCTTGTAGCTTGAAATGTTTTTTCATATTTTTTCATACTACATTTAGTGCACTTACATATATGTATGTTAAATTTTCTTCTAGTTTTTAATATAGTATTGAATGTTATTGTTATCAAAATAGTGTACTTATATATTCTTGATTAACTACTATTTAATTAAAAACCTTTTTAGGAAAATATTAAGTATTTTTATAGAAATTGCAGTTTTACGGAATGTAAAATTTCAATTTTTGATAAAATACCATTTTACACTAGAAGTTTTTCATTTCACTGTAAGTTTGTTTTAACTATGGTATACCTACAGCTAATCACTGGGATTTTCCCTTTTACTAGTTTACTGTTTAATGATATTTCATATGTGTGTAACATGTTAATGTCCATATTGGATATATAGAAATTTATCACCTAAGGCTTTAAATGCTTTTTGTAAGATGCTATTTTATGTCACAGTACTATTTTTCTTGTTAACATCATTAATTACTTTTCTTAGATCTATCATAGTTATCCATTTTATGTCAATTACACTAATCAGTACTTTCTATATGTATGTTTTTTTTATAATTAAGTATATTTATGATTATTAAATATTTCACCTATTACTTTTATACTAGCCACAAGAGATACATTGTGATCATATACATACATACATCTTAAATCTCAATTTGTTATAAGATGATGTAAACGATTCAGATTTAGCTGTAAGGGAACATCATGAGACCACATTTGGAAAAGTGAGACCCTGTAGGTATGTTAACCATAGAGAGGATGGAAGACAACTGTGCTTGGTGATTTATCCTTAGTGTTAAATCTGAACTCATCTGCATAATTTTAACATTTTTAAATTTAATTTAAAGATTAAAATGTGACCACACATAATGTGTGTGGGTAGTTCCTCTGATGATGGTACAATAGTACCAAAAACGTTTTGAATTTTAAATCATCCATTTTGGATACTTTATATAAGTATGTCAGTAGACATAGATACAACTATAATTTATTGCTAATTTGTTATGCAAGAAAAATTTTTGACGTAGCTGTTTCCTAGAAACAATGGTTATGCTAACGCCTTTGTGGTAACGCTAGCATAGTGATAGCTATATCTGGGCAACGAAAAAGGGCTACAGTGCCCATCTTGGTGGCATATTTTATTGCTAATTAATTGTTGTTGATTTGTATATTGACCAATCCCCAAAAATTACCCCATCAACCCCTAGGGCAAAACTCACCCCAGGGAAAATCGATACATTGAGCATGATGAAACTATAACAGTGACTAAAGGAATTGATTTCTGAGGTTTTACGCCAAGAAACAATGTATTGTTGTAACTGTTTCTGGCAAAAAATGGTTATGCTAACTTTATTGTAAATCTAGCATAGCTATAGCTATATTTCGGCAATGAAACGGGTTGCAGGGCTCATCTTGACGGCATATTTTGTTGCTAATCAATTGTTGCGTTCTGCACATACGATGACCTCTATATAACAATTATTGAGGTCATCAGAAAGGGAAGAGAAGATATCTATCTAATCAGCCTTAAACATCCACTCATTGGCATAGGCCTCCCCTGTTAATCTCCATTGGTCTCTATTTTGGATGATCTGCATCCAGTCCTTTCCTGTCCTTCTCTTAAGATCGTCAGTCCATCTCATGTGTGGTCTTCCTCCTTTTCTTTTCCCATGGTCTCCAGTGTAGAATTCGCTTATTCCATCTTTCATTTTTTTGCCGGAGAGTGTGACCGGCGAAGTTCCATTTAAGTTTTGCAACTTGCCTTGATACATTGTTCACCTTTGTTTTTTCTCTGATCCATGAGTTTCTTTTCCTGTCTTTAAGACCGATACCCAGCATCTATCTTTCCATTGCTCTTCATGTTTTGGATATCCTCTCGATGTTCTCCTTTGTGAAACTTCATGTTTGTGAGCCATATGTGATAACTGGTAAAATGCACTGGTTGAATACTTTCGTTCGCATATATTGAGGGAACTTTTTATTTTTTAGAATATATGATAGTTTACCAAATGAGGCCCATTCTAGTCTAGTTCGTCTTTTTATTTCTTCTGTTTGATTGTCCCTGTTCAGCTTTATTATCTGTCCTAGGTATATGTATTCTGCCACCTGCTCTAATTTATTCTGTTTGACTACTATTTCTAATTGGTCTTCTCGGTTTGTCATAGTCTTGGTTTTACTATAGTTCATCTCTAGACCTACCTCTGTCGCTTTTCTACCTAGTTCCTCAACCATCTTCTGTAACTCTTCCTTCTTATCTGTTATCAGGACTATATCGTCTGCATATCTCAAATGGTTCAAGAGCTCTCCATTTATTCTTATTCCGTATGTATCCCATTCTAATTTTAAATATGTCTTCCATAGCCTGATTGAACAATTTTGGCGATATTGTGTCTCCCTGTCTGATTCATCTTTCGAATTTTATTGGTTCTGTAGCGTGTTCGTTCGTCAATTTTATTGTGGTAGTCGCATTTTTGTATATGTTTGTTATTAGGTCCGTGTACCTGTAATCAATTCTGCCGTTCTCTAGTGAGTTTTTGATGGCCCAATGTTCTATGCTGTCAAACGCCTTTCGGAAGTCTATGAATGCCATGTATAATGGGATTTGATACTCGTTCGACTTTTCAATCAGTATTTTTACTGTTAGCAGATGGTCGCTAGTACTAAAACCCTTTCTGAATCCCGCTTGTTCTTTTGCTTGGTATTCGTCAAGCTTAGTTGTTAGTCTATTTGTCATGATCTACGTTAGTAGTTTAAATACAACACTTAGTAATGTTATAGGTCTATAGTTTTCTAAGTTCTTTCGGTCACCTTTTTTGAACATTAATAGTGTCTCCGCATCGTTCCAGCTATCGGGTATTTCTTTTGTGGTCAATATTTTGTTCATGAGGATATGTAGGACTTCTCTAGTTGTTTTCCCTCCTCTCTTCAGCATCTCTGCAGTTATTCCATCTTTTCCAGGTGACTTATGGTTTTTTAATTCTTGAATTACTTTCTTGATTTCTGTTTTACTTATTTCTGGTTGTAGGTAAGAGCTTATATTTTTTTATATTTGTGTTTAATTGTTTAAGAATTTCTTGCTGTGGTTTATATCTTGTTCTCTATAGGTGCGTATAGTATTCTTGTGTCAACTTTATTATTTGTTTCATATCATTAATGATTGTTTTATTGATTTCAGTATATTCTACTGTGTTTCTTTTGCCCTGTTCAAGTAGGCTTCTTCTTGCCTTCATCAGGTTTTCTACTTCTTCTGAGATATAATTGTCCTTTTTTGTCGTCGATTTTGCAATTCTTTCCCCGGCCTGTAGCAATGTAGTTGTTAGTATTTCCTTTA